ACACCCACGCACTTTGCAAGTGTGCAAAAAAATTAAAAAAACTAAAAAAATAATAAGAAAACGCAGTTGGGCCTATTTAAGTGCCCGGTTACGGCATCATCGCGCATAATTGTTTGGACACAAGTCTGACAGATGATAACTAATTGCGGTGCACTCAAATTAACATTGAAATTGATGGACAGCGGGCTGTCACAACTGAATATTCGCAACGATCGCCAATAAAGTGGCGATAAGGAAGCGCCAAATGATTGAATTCCCTCAGCACCTGTCCTGGAATACTGATTTCTAAATTAATCAATTAGACTGATCATCAAGGCATCTATAAACATTTTGTGCTGCTCTTTTACCAAAGGATCTAAGCACGCTTTTAGTATTTCTTGAATCAAGTTGAAATGGCGTTATCTTAACAACTAAACTATTAGTCCAGTCAATAGTATACAAAATCTGTCAAGTAAGCTAAATTTACCTTATCTCCTCTCACCATTTTGTTCTGATATTGAGAACATTGATTCTAAAATGTACTTACACGGTTTTTAAGAACGAATATTCTCAATTTAAGAACAAGGTACTTAAATATTTCTCTATTTACTATTTACTTTTTTAGATATAAAGATGTATTAAGAAAAAAGCATACCTATCCCTAAAGGTTTATTTCTCGCTTGAAATCAGTACCCAATTAAAGTTCGCTCAGTTATAGATCGTTTTAAAATCATTTACCCATGGGTTAACCATCTAAATGACCAGCAAATAATTCAGACAATCAAAACTTTTGAAAGTTAACCAAGCAAATTAAGGCAAATTTATTTTTAACCATGACGCTAGATGTTTGCCGTCTGAAATGGAATCTCAGCAGCGGACATCTATACCATATACGGTGTCTAAATATATGTATAGAATTTTAGATGCTCTGATGTATATCAATTTCATAAGCCAGTCGGAGCTGATAAGGCGAAAAAGAGAACAACGAGCTGCAGTTATGAGACAGATGACTGATAACCCAATTTCACGAGCTCCTACCACACTGCCTCTCATAAATAATCGTTTCAATTTACGAAATTCATTACACAGAGGCAGCTACTAAGTGGCCCCTCCCCACATATCACTCATACGACATGCTGTCCATATCGCAAACTATCCCACATACACAAAGACTTCGCATAATTTCCGCATTCAGTTGCAGATAAATAAATAATTGAGTCAAATTGAAATGCAACTCGCCAAACAATTCTACTCAAGCACGCAAATAAACTTCCACAAGGAGTCCAACAATGAGATGATGATCATTGTTGTCCGGGTTGTTGCTTTTCTTGGGCGGTCCCCAGTTGGATCCCCCATACCCATACCCATCCCCATCTGAGAACTTCGATACCCATTTCATTTCCATACCCATTTGGCCCCGCTCTGTCTGGCCGGCGGTGGTCAGTGATTTATGCCAGCATCGGGTCAGTTCGGACCAGGATCGGGGCATAAACAAAAACCCAAAGGAACTGAAGCACTACAAAAAAACCCCACTGTATTGGAAAAGTATAAATATGTAGATATGGTCAAAAAATAAATGTATTTTTCTAATACCAATCCAGGTATTGATTTTTTTTAGTACCATCATTTTTAAAATTTAATACTCAAAGAGTATTATTACATCTTATACAGTACTTATTACATCTTTAGATCTAGAACTTGTGCTTATTAAAAAGGTGGCTTTCATTTTAAGACGGTAATATCAAAACTAACGCTGTTTATTTTATAAAAATTGCATTTACTAATAATTTAAATCCTTAAAACATTTGTAGATTTAAATTACGATAATTATAAGACGATGTTTTTAGAAACTAATGCTTTTTTATGACTAAAAATAATTAAAATATTAAAAAAAAGTATCTCTATCTTTGCAACATGATATATATTTCGAAATAAGTTCTAATTTGCATAGTTTATAAGTTCTAAATTCAATTTTAAATTTTTTCCCAAGTTGTAATATGTTTTTAAAGTGTAGAATTGGAGTTTCTAAGACTTTATACAGCAGAAGCAGCCGCTGCAGAAGCAACAACAAACACCAAGAACTTTCAATTCCAATTTGAAATGGTGCAGAACGTCAAAAGATTGCCGCCTCCCTTTATAGGCCCCCCTCTTAGGCCCCCTCGTAACCCCTGGAATCCCATTCCAGTGATTCTCTAAGAGAACCCTTCACCGATCACTTGAGCTGCTAATTGTCGGAATCGAACACACACACAATAGCACACTTGCTCACATATGTGTATTTATAGCAAAGCAAGTGCAGGGGAAAAGAGAAGGGGGGACGAGAGGAGCAAAGTGGGGGAGTGGGAGGAGCGACTGATAAAGACCATTTATCAAAATTCATTCATGGAAAGTCTCAGCTGCATTCGATGAGTTCATCTCTCCTCTCGCTCTTCCTCTCTTCAATCGAAGCTGCTCTTAAGTGATCGACTCGACTCTCTTTCGCATAACGGAAAAGGAAATCATTTGAACGGTTAATTTAAAGTAGCGGCAAACTGGTTGCAAAACCCATTGGGTAAACAGTTTGAGGGGCACTGCTCAAATGCAGTTAACTGCTTAGAACGATTTCAAAACCTTTGATGCTTGAATGAACACCCTTTAATAATTCCGGAAAAATAATGAAAAAGATTTAAAAACAAACAAAACAAGTAATTTTTTTTTTAAATTTAGGTTTTATGTAATTTTTTTAAAACATATTGCTTTAAAGCCAAGTTTTTTTAGTGGCTAATTATTTTAAGCCATGCTAACCAAAACTAAATTACTAACATTATTGCACAAATTTGAGCTAACTTGACATTTTAAATCTATTACTATGAGAAAGAGGAAGTATGAATAAGTCATTACTAATCATAAGCGTACTATGTATTACAGGAACTCTAATGATTTCATTCAAGTATTGAAAGAAAGAAAATTTGTTGATAATGCAGTTTAATGATTGGTTTATATAGTATGTTAAAAATGCTATGATAATATACAATGTATGTTTTGACTCATTTTCTTATCGCCAGGCAAATTTTCGCGAGAATTGTAATTCCCCCTTTAATTCGGATTATCTAAATATAATCAAATTATTACGGTCTTTAAATACTTTGGTAAAAAGAAAACTCCCTTTTTCAGTGAGGGTAACTCGAGCAACGGTAGCAAAACGAAGTCAAGTCTGTTAGCGCTTTGCGGTTTGCGGATCTTCCAGATCTTGCAACCCACAAGACCTGGCAGCTCTCACTCGGAATCGGGGAGTTAGGGTCGGGTCCCAAGCCCATGGCATTGACCACGTAACCGAGTGCGAAAAGAGCTGGGAGTCGAATTACCAAAGTCGTCAAACGAGCTGCACACTTATGATGCCAAACACGTGAGCAACGAGGGACAGATCCCAACGAATCGAGTGCAAAATACGACAATCCAACACAGAAATTGTGTTCTAATATAGCTACGAAAGTCAGACCAAGCCGATAGCCTCTGAGCCTGCTGGCGACACTTGTTTTATTTCTATTTTTCTAAATTCAAGTCTAGGAATCCATGTCGCAATCAGCGAAACATGCTATCAATGGCGTCAATGCCGCCAACATAGCAATAGGTCTAATTAATTCCAGTCGCAGCCTGATAAGCCCCGAATGCCATCAAAAACTAGGTGCCGACGCAATGTGCTCCATTTTTCAACCACCCTTTCGAAATATTTTCAAACCAAAATCAAAGAAAGCCCTTTGAATATAGTTTACAAAATGCCTTGAGTGGGAAATTCGGTGTTTAAAAAAATGGTGCATAGTTTTTGGGGCATTTGGAAGCGACGTTTAGTAAAGTTAAAATTATAACGTTGATATCGGATTTTGAGCTAGCAACATTACCACCCTTAATATTATTATCAAAAAATCACGAAATTATTTCTTGCCCTAAGTAACCCTTAGACTAATTATTTTATTATTATTGTAAAAACCGATTAGATTAAGCTGCCAGTTGGGCAGCAGTGTGCTAATCTTAAGAACAAAATTTTTACATTTATAAACGTTAAAATACAAAATAATGTTGATTATAAAACCCACATGATATTACATATTTACAAATTATTCTTTCCACCCTAAACGTACCTTATTATAATAACCATGATAACAAACTTAATTAGATTTAGGTTTAATTTGCAAGTCTGAATAAAATTGCCACAAAAGCTGATTGATTATTCTTATTTAAAAGTATTATCTACAAGAAACCAAGATGTCATTGTCTTATTTTAGAAATGGGTTCAAAGCATTTAATCAATGTGATTTTACCATTAATCTCATAGTTATAAAATTAAATTTTAATTGCTAGCCGGAAACGTTCAATGGCGAGTCCTAATGGGTATGCCAAAATGTCGTGTCCTCTAAATTAAAAGATTGGGGGGTTATCAATCGGCCTTATCGCCACCAACCTATTCACCTCTTGCCAAAATAATTCAATGACATAATCCATTGCGGCTGGCTGCTGGATTCCATTGAACCCCAAGAACCAGGGACAGTCCTATAAGATTATCGCTCGAATCCAAAGAGTTGCAACTACGCGATGTTTTAATGCCGGAAGCGTGTATGAATCAAAAAGAGTGCAATATTGCAGAAGAACAATAACAATAGCTGTGATGATTAAGAGCTGACCTAATTTCAGTTGTTTATGGCTGATACTAAGTGCAGGCGAAATCGGTGAATACAGTTTTAAAAGCATTGGTAGAGTTGGTAGCTTAATTTTTGCAAACTGAATCCGAAAATGTTGGCTAAATCTCTTGAAGAAATCGTTTAAAGAATGGATTAAGAAAATTAGCTGGCACAGTTTGAGAATCACTTTGAATACCATAAAAATTAAACTATTTACCGTTTGACAATCACTTTTTATAATCTAAACTTGGCATAATATTGAAACTAATTTTAAATTATTAGTGTGAGATTTAAAATGTTTATGTCATATTATTATTTTAACTCTTTTAAGGATTTCAGGGGTTGAACCCATTATATTTCACTTACCTTTCCATCCGCTACGGTCAGGGACACCAGGCTGCCCAAGAGGTAAACGGCGCCCAGCAAACCCGAGAGATGCCGTAGATCTCTGGGTAACATCTTCGATGGGTCCTTTGGTCCTATCCGCAAATTGTTTAAGTCTCACTCTGGCGATCTCTCTATCTATTCGTCCCTCTCTCCCACTCTCTCTCGGTCAAAACACACACGAAACTGCCAACGAAATAAACATAAAGTTAGAACATTTTTAGCAATTTTCGATTTTTAAAATATGTTTAAAAAACCGACATCGACGAATTAAATATTAAAGAATTGATTTACGAACTACTGTGGGAAACTAACAGAAAACGCTGATTTGCTGCGATCGTCGGGCGCAGCACACTCCCCACATGTGGAGATCGTCAAGCGTTCGAAGTGTTACTAAACACGAGCCCCACCAAAGAAATTCGAATTCTTCGCCCGCTCGCTCGGCACGATCGCCTCCACTCGGCTGAGATCGGGTACCAATACCACTGCAAATGGGAACTGAGATGGTATGGGTGCAGTACTCGCAGTCGTAGTCGCAGGCACAGGCCAGGGACAGACAGGCCCGGATGGATGTGGGTTTGGATGTAGATGTTCCTATGGCTATGGTTATGCCTTTATGGAATGGCTCTGAATTTAGCACTTTGACGCCTTGAAACGAGGAAATGAGGAGCAGAGCCCGCTAACCGAATCAAAGCTGCCCGTTTTTAAGCATAAAAATCTATTTCCCATTCTGGTTCTCTGTTTCTGCAGGGGAATATTAGTTCTTAGTCTTACAAGCCACACAGAAAATCTAGTTACATTGGACATATGACAATCAAAACTAAGTGTATGCAGTTTTGACTTTAGTTTTTTTCCCACCGCTAATTAAAAAATAATTAATAAATTATTGCAAATAGATAGACACTATGAATTACAACATGCCTCTGATTTATGATAATCTTTCTAATGATGACCGAATATAATACCATTTTTGGTTCCATTTCCTTAAGAGCAGTACTTTATATGAAATATCCATCTACCGGGTATACTTTAGTCTTAATTCTCAACTCCATATAGTGGTTCCAATACAATTCGATGCTTGTTTGTTTGTCGCGCTTTGATTAGGTTAAGGCTTTTTCATTTAGTATATAGCATATGTGGAACTGATAAGACGGATATGGCTGAGTATTTCCTGTTAGAACTACTGAACAAGAGTCCAAGCTTGTCATGCCTAGCGTTCTTTTTTTTTTAACGCAGAAACACCAAAATAGAACCTTACGAAATTCGTGCTTCGTTATAGGTTTTGAGGCCACAGCTTTTTGAAATATGTATTGATAGGACTACTATCAAGGCCTCGCTCTATTTGGGAAAGAGTTCTTTTGTCTTAGGGTACGTACAAGTCGGATATGACCCAGTGGCCCCAATATATCCCTTTTAAGAAGCTGAAGAGATTAAATTGGTTCGGACTTTGTAAGCTCTGCACTGATCGGAAGTGTTCTACTTCTTTAAACTCAAAGACTTGTTCCAAGAAATATTGAAAAATGTAATGCTAACTTAAGGTTGCACAAAAATGTTTTAAAATATCAGGAACCGTAATCCTAGCGAGTTTTATTTTTAGACTCAAAAAAAAATAATTACATTTTATAAAAAAAAATTAATTCTCCGAAATAATCATCATTTTTGTGTTTTATTATCATTACTTCTTATTAAAAAAAAACTTATGTGGATTAGTTTAAAAAAATTCTTTGGGCTAAAAAACTTAAAAGAGTATGTAAAAAAATTTAAAATAATCCTTAGAGACCATAAAATAAAGGGTCTTCAATTTTAAGAAAGCGTTGCATACTTTTATAAAAAGAAGAGTTGCTTTAGCTACCTTACTATTTGTTCGATAAATTTGAACATAAATGTAAGGGAATCGTCAAAACCATTTCCTACCCTCCTTTGTTTAATAGTTAATGCATATCATAACATTTTACAAAATATATTATGTTTAACATTGATATGGATGAAATGAAAATCAATTCCATGATGTCAACACGATTATTAGATTAATTAAAAAATAGATTAAGCTGACCGAACTTTTGGAAATACTGAGGCACTGTTACATTTTTTGAAACGTAATTGCAAAAAGTTAAAAATGAATTGTAGTTCATTCTACATATATGTGAACATGGTATGATATGTTATCCTTGTTATGACGGACTCTGTATTTTTGTTTCCTAGTTTAAAGAGATTAAAACATTACAGATTACATACAGTAAAAACAAACAAAAATTTGAATGTGGTTAAAATTAGATCGTGCACCAAAAAAACAGGGCTTGATAAGGAAGCCTTGGAACTTCACAGTCTGAGAACCGAAATATGTAGTCCCCCAAAGGCAGGAGCCGCGGCAAAACGGAAGCCATGTGCCCGATCTCGGGGCGGGGGCTATCAGCTAAGCTGGGAGCTGGGAGCCGGAGCTTGTGGAAGGTGCTCCCGGGGAGGTGATCCGGCGGAATGAAGCTGCTGTTTTATTGAGCAACTTAAATCGCATGCGGCATATCAACAGCAGCGACTTAGTTTCAGACTTATCACCAACGTTTCATTCATTCCGCAGCGACAATGTTAGCCGCTGGGATTAGTGTTGCTATTGCTACATACGATCCGTCGCCCATCCGTTCTATATGCCATATGCGATGGGGCCTCCCACACCCAGCCCCACTTCCACCCATCATCCCCATCATCCCCATCCCAACCATCTCAACCGATTCCATCCCATCCAATCACACGGACAGTGTACGTGAGCCAAAGAGCCGAGCCAAGATCGTGCCCAGCCGAACGATCGACGAGTTAAGATCGGGGCATCGGGTTTGGAATCGGCGTTGGCGTTTGGCTTTTGGATCGCTCGAACTTATACTATAATTAGTCGTGTTCCGTCTCCCTGAGTAAGTAGTAGACTGGGCTCGGTCCGGAGCTGATCTGGCCAGTTGCCTTTAGTCTGTCTTTAGTCTGTTCTGTGGAGCAGAGTGGTGTGCTGTGCGTTCGGATCGTGTTGCTCGGTTGTGGTTGTGTGTTCTTGGTAGGGTCTAATGTCCCGTCGATCCGTCCGTTGGATAGGAGTCCATTAAGGAACTTGATTTAAACAAATAATTTAAAAAATATATTTTATACATATATTTTTAAATTTAAACCCATATATTGCTTGCCAAATAATTGTGGGAGCTTCGTGTCAGCTCCAGTGCTCCTCAAACTGTAACGCGAAAAAGCTATGTTCCTTTGCGCTCGAACCTTAAAAATTGGAAAAATATAAAAATCATTTAATCGTACAAAAAATTAAAGCAACATGATTTTCCCACAAATATTAAATGACATATGAATACCGGTCAAGTTCTGTAGTTTTAAAATTTATTATTTTGCAACTGCTGCGAAATTAAAGTGCCCAATTTTCTGGCTCATCTTTCCAGGCCCAACGACGGGAACATATAAATTAATATTCGACGAGAACCGAGAAAATTATTGTGCAGGCTTAAGTGTATAGGGCATAATGTTGCCCTTCTGGAAGCGGTAAGTAGAAATGTATTATTATAAGATCCTTTCAATATTTTAGAGAGAAAAAAATTCAAAGACAAGATTTGTGGAAATGGTCAACAAAAAAAAGAATGTCTAAAGTTAGAACAGCTTTACGTTAAATCAATTATTTTAAAATTTTATTTTTATTTGGATTGTTATGATTTATAATTATGTTTAACCAAAAAAGGTAAAGAGAAATTTTAAAATTTAATGAGAATAGGCTTTTTAAAATCTAAAATTATTTTTGACTTTCTCTAAAACTTTAACTATTAATGTGCTTAAATTAAATTATTTATGTATATTTATATTTAAATATAAATGATTGATGTAGAAGAAGACATAAATTGAAAAATACAATTTCTTTATTTTTATAATATTAAAAATTAAAAACACTCTTTAAAAGTCTCTCCAAATCCCAAATCCCACCTGTGGACTTATAGATCCGTATTGCCAATTTGCCAAGATCATAATGATTTCTCCTGAAACACTTAAGAGAGAGCTCTCTTAGCTAGTTCTCTTCCACTAATTGCCTAAAAGAGCGAGATGCCACTTTAAGAGAGGAGATAACTCCAAGAATAAGAAACTAGACTGATAAGAGAGATTGCCCATATGAAGCACAGTTCCTAACCCTCCTGATCTCTGGTCTTCGATTTCTTTGCAGGCTGCTGTATGCCGCTGTCATCGCAGGAGCGTTAGTCGGTGCCGATGCTGTAAGATAGCCCCATCTTATACACCTCATCCATATCCATTCGGATAGTAAAGCACCTATACCCTTTTTATTTTCCATTTCCCTTCAGCAATTTTGGAAGCAGTCTGGTACATCCGGTTCGATTCAGGACGCCGCTAGAACCCAAACCCGACATGATCAAAGAAACCCCATTGACCCCAGTTACGAAATCGTGGACTCCGCCGGACAGCAGCGCGGAGAGCCGCTGCCCAAGAATTGTACGGCCGGATATGCGGGCTGCGTGCCCAAGTGCATTGCGGAGAAGGGCAACCGAGGTCTGCCGGGCCCACTGGGACCCACGGGACTGAAGGGTGAGACGGGTTACCCCGGTTTGGAGGGACCTCTGGGCGACAAGGGCCAGAAGGGTGACCCCGGTCCATACGGAGTGCGTGGCGACAAAGGTGAGCGCGGATCGCCTGGTCTTCACGGACAGGCTGGTGTGCCCGGTGTCCAGGGACCTGCTGGCACTCCCGGCGCCCCCGGTCAGAATGGCAAGGACGGATGCGATGGCGAGAAAGGTTTTCCCGGTCTGGAGGGTCTCTCCGGAATGCAGGGACCCCGCGGCTACACTGGCCAGTTGGGCAGCAAAGGTGAGAAGGGTGAGCCGGCCAAGGAGAATGGTGACTACGCGAAGGGCGAGAAGGGTGAGCCCGGCTGGAGGGGCACAGCTGGTCTGGCCGGAGAGCAGGGATTCCCGGGCGAGAAGGGCGAACGCGGCGACAGCGGACCCTATGGCGCCAAAGGACCTCGAGGTGAACACGGCCTGAAGGGTGAGAAGGGTGCCTCTTGCTACGGACCCATGAAGCCCGGTAACCCAGGTGAGAAGGGCGCCAAGGGTGAGCCCGCGACATCGGCGCCAAGCAACACGGAGGTCACCGTTCAGGGACCCCGTGGCGACCAGGGACAGAAGGGAGAGCCAGGACCAGTGGGCCGCAAGGGAGAGGCCGGACCAGAGGGTGAGACTGGACTCGATGGACAGAAGGGAGAGAAGGGTCTGCTCGGTCACCCAGGAGATCGTGTAAGTACACATATCTTATGTAGCTTGTATTGAAACACCATCGTAGCATCCTAATCCTTACATCACTTCTTCCTCTTTACCGCACAGGGTCGTCCCGGTAACTTTGGACCTCCAGGACCTGCCGGACAAAAGGGAGATCGCGGTGA